TATTTTGGTCTGAACTAGAGTTTAAAATTTTGTATAATATTATGCTATCTTAAACTAAAATATATTTGGGATGGGTTTACAATTAGGTCGCCCGAATTTGAGGATTCTGTCACTGTGGGGAAGTCAAGAGGGTTTATCTGAAGCACCCCCATGCGATTTTTGCTGCCGGAGCAGCGTCGAAGTATTTTTATTTATTTTGTAAAAAAAATTGTAAATTACTTATTAATTATTCTCACGTTTTTGATGTTGCAGCTGTCAATGTCATACATATCGATATATAGTACTGAATCGATCTAGTGGATCGATATTTCACTCTAGAGAATTGAGATCGAATCTTTTTCTGTTTAAAATTATTTAAAATTAGTTGAATGTACCCCAATTCATAAAGAATGTCAATTTTTAAATTCAATCATTCAATGTTATCTGTACTTTATTATATCTTTTGATATTGTAAATGTAAACTCTTCACGCAAATAAAAAAGATCGATTTTTGCGAATGCGATATTTAAGACTTCGATTTTTTGTGAATCGATTCATCTAACTTCGATTTGAATCGATTTAAATTAATCGCTATAGTTCGTGCCAAATCGATTGAGAAAAACGGACGATGACCTCAGATATGAGCCGAGTGTCAAAAGGCGTAACTTACAAAATCTCAATTTAGACTTGATAACAATATTTAAATATTGATATTATTCACACTTCTAGGTCAGCACATATTTTTTTTTCTTGAATAATATTGTCTGCGGTTCCTATAAACATCGTAAAATCTTACGGTAAATTGTGAAAAATGTGTTATATTTTATATTTGAATTTATGGTAAGTATCGCGGCAATTCATTTAATAACAGTTTCATAATTAAAAAAAGTATTTGAAGCAATATAATCACCACATTCAGTTTTTGCAAATGCATCCCTTTAAAATAAACAATACGCGCGTTACGTCAGTTCGTTCTAAAAGAAACGTGACAATGGCAGCCAGAGATTCGTCACTTTTTTGGGCCGTCCCGCACGCACCGAATAAAAATAAAGTTCTTATATAATATTGAGAATAAAATTTTATCTTTTGAATAAGTACGTACTTATTCGGTGTCGTTATCACTTGAATCTTTATATGTGTTATAAATTAATGCTTTTTGTTGTTAAATGAATAAAGTACTTTATAACAATAGATGATTTTTCTTCTACAGCGATCTTTTACATAACTTTTTAATAACAGTTAGTAAATATATATTATATCAATCATTATAAAAAAATAATAAAAATATCATTATAAATAAAGAAGGTACTACATATAAAAAGTGCATATATTATGAAGGTTTGTAGCCCCTCGTTAAATGAACGAGAGATCAATGTCCGTTTTTCGCAATCGATTTAGCACGAACTAAGTTCGGCCATTTTGTTGACAGTGACAGACATACTTAATAGCCCCTCTACACGATGGGCCATAGAGACATACGAGGGCGGCACTGAAATTTTCAGGAATTAAGAAAGTGACACAACATTACTATTTAAAAATGTATTTATTGCTTTTCGAAGTATTTTCCGCGAAATTTGACACATTTTTCCATACGATGGAACCAATCATTGAAGCAACCATTCCATTCGGAAGTTGGGGTCTCCAAAATGGCCGTTTTGTAGGCGTCCACAGCTTCTTCAGGTGATGAAAATCTCTGTCCACGCAATTTATTCTTTATTTTAGGGAAAGTATAGAAATCATTAGGGCTTAAGTCGGGGCTGTACGGCGGATGGTCTAATAATTCTATGTTTTCTTGCTCTAAAAACTCTTTTGTTCTATGTGCGGTGTGAGAACTCGCATTGTAGCGATGGAGTCGAGAGAGTCAAGTAACATACGTGCGCTAACAACGTTAGGTGAACCTGTCGAGTACTGGGACACTCTCTTAATATATATTGTCACTCATAAGTTAGATTCAAAGTCCTATCGAGAGTGGGAGACTACTTTACTTTTACTTTCGATATGTTTCTCGAACTTATGCGAAATCGTGCCGATTTAATTGAGACGTTAGAACTCTCACGTAGCGGAGGACAATCACATACGAACTATAATACCAGGTCTAAATTAAAAACCATGGTCACCGTCGCTAATCCCGTTATTAGTTCAAGTGGTTCAACCTCACTTTCCAAACATTGTCCTAAATGTAATAGTGAACACAATTCGAGCAATTGCCCTCAATCCTTAGCATTAAGTAATAATGTAAGGTTAAAATTGTTACCTAATTATAAAGTTTGTTTTAACTGCTTTCGGAAAGGTCATTTTGCAAACCATTGCAAAAAAACGGGGTGTAAAATATGTCGACGAAAACATCATACCCTAATTCATTCGGAAGGTACGTCACTTAAGCATCTTGGTAGCAACAAAGCCCGAACTGAATCTCACACTACACCGTTGGAGACTATACCAGCACCGTCTAGTGTTAACATTACTCTGTCGGCGATTGTCAAACCGTCATCGTTTGGTAGGCGAAATCGTGACAAATACGTCGTATTGCTGTCTACAGCATTAATTAAACTGTATGATAAAAACAATTGTGAGCACATAGCTCGCGCTATGCTCGGCAGCGGAAGCACTTTATGTCTTATGACAGAAAATTTAAGTCATAGGTTAGGTCTGCCTATTAACTGTGTTGACAAATCTTTACTTGGCATTAATAATGCACCTTCGCGTATCACAAAAATGAATCGCGTAGACATTAAGTCACTGGATGAAAGTTTTATAACAAGTCTCCAATGTTTTATTTTACCGACAATATACCGATAACGTACCTTGTCGTAAAATTGATTTGACGAATCTGAATATTCCGTCAAATATTTGTTTAGCAGACCCCTATTTTCACACGCCTGCATCGATTGACTTAATTATCGGTGCAGATATATTTTGGTATATATTAGGTTCCCAAAGAATTAAACTAGGAGAAGGGAAACCGATTCTTTTTGAGACTAGACTAGGATGGTTAGTTTCAGGTCCGATTAATAGCGATCATGCATTGGTTTCATCATATTATATTAAATGTAACTTCGGAAAAGTAAATAAGATCTTAGAGGATAGCATAGAAAATCAACTCATAAAATTTTGGCGGTGGATTCAAGATCATCCTGCTATCTTCCTGAAGAGAAACTATGTGAGGAGTATTTTATCAAGAACACAACCCGTCTCACTGACGGTCGTTTTTGTGTTCGGTGAGGTGAATCTTTTATAAGAGCTAAGCAACGGTTTTTGTTCCTTGAGCGTAAACTAAAAAACAAGCCGGAACTAAGTAAAATGTATTACGATTTTATGTTCGAATATCAGTCCTTAGGACACATGTCGGAATGCCAAGACAGCGAATTTGTAAACAAGCCCCATTTCATCCCCCACTATGGCGTTTTGCGCGAGAGTAGCATGACTACAAAATTAAGAGTTGTATTTAATGCTAGTGAGCCAACTTCATCAGGTGTTTCATTGAACAGTATCCAGATGACAGGCCCTACTGTTAAAGACGACCTTCTGTCTATACTCCTCCGATTTCGGCAATACAAATTTATTTTAGGTGCCGATGTAGAGAAAATGTATAGACAGATCGTCGTACACCCCATGGACAGGCACTTGCAGGTCATTCTGTGGCGTCACGACTCATCTCAACCGGTGAAAATGTACCAATTAAATACCGTGACATATGGAACGACTAGTGCGCCTTTTCTTGCTACTCGATGTATAAAGCAAATAGGTCTCGAGTGTAAAGACAAAAATATATCAGAGATTATTTTGCATGATTTTTACGTCGACGACTTGTTGACGGGAGGGGATGAACTCGAATACGTCAAAAACATTAAAAAAGGGTTATATCCGAACTTGCTTCCGCGTGTATGCCACTCAGAAAGTGGAGGTCAAATTGCAAAGAATTAATTTCCGAGCAATCACAAACATCGTTAGATTTAAATATTGGAAGTAGTCAACCGAGTAAGCTTCTAGGTCTTAACTGGCGTTCAGATTCTGACGAACTCTGTTTTCCGATAGGTTCTCTAACTAATAATGGTAATACAAAGCGCGATATACTTTCTGCAATTGCGCAAATATTTGACCTCTTAGGACCGCTAGCTCCATGCGTCATAAGAATGAAAATACTGCTACAAAAATTATGGTTACAAAACTAACATGGGACGAGCAATTAACTCCCATGATTAGCAAACATTGGGCAGAATTAATTAAGGATTTACCTTTGCTCAATAATCTTAGTATTCCTCGTGTTGTCATTTGTGGTTCATGTAAGTTAATTGAACTACACATTTTCTGTGATGCGTCTGAGCAGGCTTACGGCGCTTGTTTCGCAGCAGTGTTGGGAAATAGTTGGTGCGAAATTATGGTGTTGCCAAGCTAGAAAATATTGTATTTTGGGTAGAATTATTGTATTTTTTGCTAAAGATTTTTTTATTTATTTAAGCTCTTTAATCCAAATTTATTAGGTTTTTGCTCTTATTTATATTTGCATAACTTGAAAATATGTTATTAATTGTCTTTTTTTATTAAAATAATAAAACTTAGGGCACGGAATTAAACAATATGAACTAAACAGGAATGGAAAATTGGAAGTCATCTTCTTCTTCGAGTTCAAAATCTCGACGTATGACGATAGATGTAGACGGATTTGACTGCAGAGAAGTTGTTGTATACCCCTTTCAGCCCAGGCCAACACGATTGTGACGTTAAGTCAAAGTAAAATTTTGGCGGTATTTTAGGCGTTATGTGAACGGGCCCACGGCCGTACGATCGTGACGGATATGCTCTGTCTATAGGTATGAGTGAGACAGCTAGCAAGCGTCGCGAAGTTCAAATTTAAACTCATTCATTTCGCCGTTGGTGTTGTTTAGGGTGTTGCTGCGCGTGAGTAATCAAAATTACCATACAATTATGTATTTCTCACGTTATGATTGTTGTTTATTTTTATTGTATTTTTAGGAAATTCTTAAGAAAAGCGGCACTGAAGTACTACATAGTACGTTGCCATGGCGGAATCGCTATTTAGCCTCGATGACAAGGCAATTGGGGAGTTACTGGAACAGTCTGCCTTGGATGATGTTGATGAAGATGATGATGACTTATACGCGCAAAATGATGAAGATAATAACTCCTCCGAGGATGATGTCACACTCTCATCTTTGAGGGCGGCTATCAATCAAAGTGATGGCAAATGGACAAAAAAAAAGACTTCGAGGGAAGACTACTAATCAAGCTCAAGAAAGTGCAAGTAATGCACCGTCCAAATAACCTGCGGAGTACTTCGAAAATTATTTTGATGCAGAACTGTTTGAAAAGTTTGCGATTTGTACTGCGCAATATTACATGGCCGAAAAAGGACAGCAAATAAGGCCGCAATGTACACCTAATGAAATAAAAAAATCTTTGGAGTTCACGGGATGATGAGTTGCATTAAATGCCTTCGAATGAAAATGTATTGGCATCAATTTCGATACGACGCAATAGCTAATGCTATGTCACGTGAGCGCTTTTTTATGCTACGGGTCAATTTACATGTAGTTGATCCTAACAGAGTTGACGAAAATGAACGGTCTGCTAATAAATTGTGGAAAGTGCAAGCAGTCATAGATGCAGTTAGAAAACGCTGCCATGCACTGCCACGCGAGAGTCAAACTTATTCTGTCGATGAACAGATGATACCATTCACAGGTTGGTGCGCACAGAGACAGTATATAGCAAACAAGCCTAGGCCAGTTGGATTGAAAAATTTCCTAGTTACGACTGCACAGGGATTGACCCTGGACTTTGAGATATATCAAGGCCCAACCACCGACTTACCAGATAGGTCATTTGGCTTAGATCCTGCGGTTGTTTTGCGATTGACAAGAACATTACCTGGTGGAAGTTTATATTTTGATCGCTATTTTACAACGATTAGTTTACTAAAAGAACTAATTAATCGCAATTTCGATGGAACGGGTACGATGATGGCAAACCGATTCAAAAAAAACCTTGTATACATTCAAGAAGGATCAAGCGATGAAACGAGGAGATTGCGAAGAAGTTTGTAGTCCAAATGGAAACCTTTGCACGGTCAAGTGGAAAGATAACAAAAGTGTTTTGTTGGCTTCAACGATTCACGGAGCTGAACCGAGTACTACTGTAAGTCGATGGGATAAACAAACACGTACTTACAAGAACATTCCTTGTCCTTCCATCGTCGCCAATTACAACAACAACATGGGAGGCATAGACTTGTGCGACCAGATGATTGAAAACTATAGGACGTGGTTCAAAACCAAGAAGTGGACGCTATCGTAAACTCTTGGTTTGAGTATCGAGAAGACGCACGAAAAGCCAATATGCGTAAAAATGATGTCATGGACTTGCTGGCATTTCGTATATCCATTGTAGAATATTTATTAGGTGGACCGACTAGAACAAGGACTCGCGATGACTTAGAATTAGCCCCAATACCGACTAGTTCTGAGTACAAACCTGCAATACTGCCGACACCTAACAAAAGATATGATGGCTACAATCTTTGGCCAATGTTCGATACGTTGCAAGCTCCTCGCAAATGCAGGTTGCCTGATTGCACCAGTAGAACCTGAGCAAGATGTTCGAAATGCGACGTATATTTATGTATAACTAAGGATAAAAATTGTTTTTTTAAGTTCCACAACGCTTGTTAAACGAAAAGTCTGAATAATGTTATGATACTGTATGTTTTTCTTTTAATTTTAACAAAAAAAAATGTTGTTCCTATTATGCTAAGGTTAAGAAAATATTTTCATTTATTTGATTATAAAGTTTATATTTATAAAGTTAATGCTATGCAAAAGTTTGTTGAACTAAAATAATAATATTTCTTTTTAATTCTATGTTAAACTTGGTTTTAAGTTAGAGAAAGATTAAACTATTAAGCCAATATAAAATAAATGACATAATAAACACATCACATCTTTTTATTCACCTTAATTTATAAGAATAATTTGAAAGAATTCAATAACTTAATATAATTACAATTATTAGTGGCTAGAAATATGGCCCACATCAAAACAATTGTGACCGTCACAATTGTGACTCGGAATGAGTTGGGCCCACATCGACACAACTGTGACAGTCACAATTGTGACGTGGAATGAGTAGGGCCCAAGTAGATACAATTGTACGCCCCCCTGAAAAGTCCTGAAAACACATTGTATCACTGAAAGTCTTCAGTTTTTGTATTCTTTGATCCCCAACGTGGGTCTGAAAGGGATAAAGGACATTGGAGACAACTTAATTTGCCATTTGTTTCGTGGGTTCAAATGATATACATCCCTTTTCGGGACGTTTTGCACTTTTAGAACCGATAACTACATTATTTGGTATAAGTACGTGATGCGTTCGTTCATATATTTTAGGGTTGCGTGTGTCTAGTATTGAACTTATATTGTGTAAAAATAGGAAAATATTGTATAAAAGCGTACAATAATGAGAAAGCTATGTTTTATGGTACAATTTAGTTTCGTGTAACAAATTATTGTAAGAATCCAATAATTATTGTACATTTTCCAACACTGGTTCGCAGTATAAACCATAAGGGAGATATTTTCGTGCGTTTGTTGATAGCTAAGAGTCGTGTTGCTCCCATTAAACCTACGACAATTCCGAGACTTTGCGCGACTTTATGAACAGGTAGTCACTTTACTTCGGGTGAAAATTAGTCGTACTACATTCTGGACCGACTCCACTATAGTATTGGGATGGATGAAAATGCCACCCGCTAAGAAGAACGCTAAGAACTGTGTTGCGGAGATTTTAGAAAAAGCAGGTAGTTGTATTTGGAGGCATGTACCGACTAGTGACAACCCCGCAGACCTACTGTCTCGTGGTGTTGACAGTGAAATATTGCAGCATCGTAATTTGTGGTGGTGTGGTCCAAGTTATCTTAAACAAAATGTATCACAATGGCCTTTACAGCCAAAAAATGTCACTTTACTACCCGAGCTTAAACCGGAAGTCTCATTAAATGTTACTGACAATAATAACACAAAATCTTTTGAATTAATTGAATTTAATCGGTTTTCCAATTTTTTAAGACTCAAACGCACTGTAGCATATGTCTTACGTTTTATTAATATATGTAGAAAACGGATTCCTCCTACTAAATATTTAACCGAGTGTGAACAACAAGACGCGTTGAACCACATTATTAGGAACGTACAAAGGGAATCATTTCTAGAGTATAGCATGCTTCTTAAGGGATTATCTTTGTCCAAAAATAGTCCATTACATAAGTTCACAGCATTTTTAGATAAAAACAATATCATGCGAGTAGGAGGTCGCCTAAACAATTCAAACTTTTCTTATCATAAGAACTCTATCTTATTTACAGTCCACACATTGCTTTACTCAATTGTTATTCGATTATCAACATAAACATTTAATGCACGCGGGACCCCAATTACTATTAGCTGCAATAAGAGAATCGTATTGGCCAATTGGTGGTCGAAATCTGGCGAGGAGATGCTACCATCAATGCGTCCTTTGTAGTAATGAAAGGTAAGGTCGTAGCGCCATTGATGGGTAATCTACCACAACAGCGTATTCAACCTGGAGGCTATCCCTTTGAAAATATAGGCGTAGACTATGCAGGTCCTATGTTATCTGCTAGTCGCCAATGTCGCGGATGTCGTTTGGTAAAGGTGTACATAGCCATATTTGTGTGTTTGGCAATCCAAGCAACGCTTAGAATTGGTTGGCGATTTAACAGCCATAGTTTTATACTGACCTTACGAAGGTTTTTATCACGAAGGGGTAAACCAAATAGTATTTACTCTAACAACGGTACCTCGTTTGTTGGCGTGTGCAATGAACTTTCCACGTTTTTAAAAACCAATTGCAATTTACTGTCCGAAAAAATGGGTAATGATGGGATTAATTCCATTTTATTCCTGCGTATTCTTCACACTTCGGTGGACTCTGGCGGGTGTTAAATCAACCAAGTTTCATTTACAAAGAGTGCTGGGAAATTGTAATCTCACTTACGAGGAGCTTAATACTACGCTGGTGCAAATTGAAGCGATATTGAACTCTCGGCCTCTCACACCATTGTCATCCGACTCAGAAGACTTAATGCCACTAACACCAGGTCACTTTTTGATCGGACGACCGCTCACGTCTTTACCAGACAGAGATTATAGAAGTCATCAAACTAACTCTTTGACCCGCTTTCAACGAATTGAGCAACTCCGCCAACATTTTTGGACTAGATGGTGTAAAGAGTATGTTTCTGAACTCCAGCAACGAATGAAATGGCGTGTCAGCAATGATGACTTGAAATTGAATTCTTTGGTTGTCGTGAAAGAAGACAATCTCCCTCCATTGAAATGGAAGTTGGGCCGAGTCGTTGCTGTTTATCCTGGACCTGACAACATCAGTCGTGTGGCAGATATCAAAACGTCTGCAGGAATAATTCGACGATCGTTCAGCAAGATTTGTCCGCTCCCTGTGCCTTCTGGTTGAAAGACGTGCTTTCAACGCCCGGGGGAATGTTGACGCCTGATGCATTTCATTAGCAATCATTCGCCTTAGATTGTTAGAGCTTTTTAATTCTAACATTTTATGTATGTAATATTCATTGTAATTTTATTCATCACTACCTTCTGTATCGTGGTACAAGTTGGCACTCGCATTATACAGACCTTTACCAGATTAATCTCTTTTATTATTTCAAAATTTGGAATAATCCCCCACACAGTTCTCTTTACGGAGTTCAGAAACGACCTGTGGCAAACAAATGCTAGCATACCATTCTGCATTAACCGTTCTTTGTCCCTCAAGAGGAATAATCGTAACATGGCCGGTTTTGGAGACAAACGTGGCCACCATTTTTTTTGCAACACTCCGTGAACGAACAATTTTTGTTGGCTCTAACTCATTTTCGAACACCCCACTCGTGACTGTTTTTTTGTTTCGGATCCGTATGCGTATATCCAGGATTCGTCACCTGATACGATGTTGTATACAGCATTTGAGGATCCTGCGTGGAATCTTTCGAGAGTTCTGATGCACCAAGTAACGCGAGCCGATTTTTGCTCTTCACAGAGCGAATGCGGTATCCATCGGGAAAACAACTTTTTTTTACACCTAATTGTTCATGCAAGATTATTTGTATTTGACTCATGCCAATGTATGAAGTTGCCTGAATTTCGCGGTATGTCACATGTTGATCTTCCTCAATCAGCTTTCGCACAGCATC